TGTGAATGTGACCCGTTGGCCCTTGATTGTTATTAGGCGTTTGGGTAAGTCAATTGTTGTCTGATTAGCTTGGAGAAAGTCCATTCCCAGGATGACATCCCATGGAAGACCATCGGACACAATCAGTGTTTGCTGAATCTTCAAACCATTCACTGTGATAGGGGTAGTTACAGTTCCTTTGATGTGTAAGGGGCTGTTAATAGCGGTGACTAACTTAACCTCCGTTTCGCTGAGCGGTACACCTACGGGAACCCACTGACTACGGACTACCGACCGGGCCGCCCCCGTGTCCACTAATGCCTGTAGCCTTTTACCCCATAATGTAACAGATACCATAGGATTACTTTTTGGATCATTGCAATGGAACGGGCAAAAAGAAACATTCGACTCACTGGTTTGATTGTGCCCACAGGTGACGGCTCGCGTTCCGAAGCGTCGGCAATACTCGCAGTTTCCTCGTTGAGACGGCCAGCGTGTGTGAGGATTTCTACTGGGAAAATTTGGTTATCGACGGGAATGTGGTCCTTGGAACCCTCGGGTGTCTGCAAACCGGCCACTGGTGTTCGGTGTATGGATAAGGGCAAAGTTCTCAGGTAGTCCCAGTTGATGTTCGCGGAGAACGTTCTCGAGCTGTTCTATTTCATGCCCCGTCTCCAGTGCATCTTGTAAAGTCAATGGCGGCTGTCTTCTGAACCTCTTGACGAGCTCGGGGTGTCGGACACAAATGCACACCTGGTCCAGGATCTTGCAGTCCCTGCTTTCTTCGTCCAGTTCTGGAAATGCATCTTCGGCCCAGCGGCGCAGATATCGGACGAACGAGTGGATATTTTCGCCGGGCTGTTGAATTGTCGTTTGAAATTTGTAGCGAGCGGTTAGTCTGTCGGTGTCGTCGGTGAGGTTCTGCCGTAGCCGGGAGAAGGTGTTCGCGGATATCTGATAACCGGGCCGAATTAGGCCACGCGCTATGTCTTTGGCTTCACCTTCCAAAAGTGAGAACAATACACGCCGCCGATCGCTCGGGGTGAAAAGCTCAACATACTCTTGTGCATATGCCGCCCAGCGCCGGAAATCGTCGCCCAATGAGAATTTCTTTGGTGGGGGAAAGCTCGGGGAGGGTTGCGTGTGCACCTGTCCACCTCGGACTACAGAGGACAGCACGGCGAGAAGTTGGGAAGTTGAGGGTTCCAAAACCCACTGTAGGCTCTTTTTCTTGCAATTTCTCCGGGTCACTTTTCTTCGGCATGACGAATCCTGGCAGGGTCGCCAGAAATGTAATATTCCGTAGTCAGTTAGTCCGGGAATGAGCAACACAGTCGTGGGGTAGTGGATAATTCCGCAAGGCCCTGCAATGAAATGGGTTACGCAGGGTGATGATAATCACATAAACTTCGGCACGGTCTATTCCACGAGGTAAGCACAGGAATCACACAAGGTTCACAGTCAGGCAAAATTATCTCGGGGGAGAATGCAGTATCAACGTGAGGAACAATTCTATTAAAGTAATCCAGGGAGGCGAAACGAACATTCGGGTCACAATAACAGCCGGGCAACAAGGAGCACCAGGAGGATCAGATGTCACACAGGAAGAAGAAGAACAGAGAGAAGGAGAGAGGCAGGTCGATCAAAACAAGCCAACTTTTCGTGTCTTCGTTCTACTCTTGCTTGTCGATATTCGTGTTCTCCTGGGGGCGGGGTCCCTCGAATCTGCAAGATAAGGGGAAAAGGGAAACATGTGATTAGGCGGGAGGTTCGACTTTCTAGGATACTTTACATGGGTGCTTGGTTTAAGTTCCCACGTTACCACCATATCCCTTGCCTCGTGCATCCTTTGTATCGATATGCCTCTTTTTATCTCTTCTTCATTTCTGGTAGTCAGTATCTGACATTTCGAGCCTTGCCCAACCATTCCCAATAATTGCACTTTATGCTCCAACAGATGGTGGCTGACAGAGTCAAATTCTTTCTGGAAGTCCAGGTAGCATACCTCCACCGATAGGCTCTCATGAATTCTACGTGTGACCTCGTCTAGAAAAACGAGCAGGTTTGCCAGACAAGATCTCTGTTCAACAAATCCGTGCTAAGTTGGTACTAATAGCCCAGCTATTGACCATCTAGTGGCATATTTGCCTTCTAACTGAGCGCTCCAAACAAGTACATATTACTGACGTCAAACTTACTGGTCTGTAATTCTCGGCTTTTTGCCGGGATTGAGACTTGTGTATTGCCACTACTGTCTTCGCGCCAGTCTTCCGTGAGAGATTCAAGTCTAAGCGATTTTTTAAGTAACTCGAAGACCG